TTAAATCTCCATAAGAAATATGAAGAGATTCCCTTAGATCTTGACAGATTTGAGTCTTTACACCTTATTATTTGGAATAGGCTACATAATCTTGACAGTAGTACAATTGCCAGAATAGTTTTCTATGGAATTTTCATATATCTAGGGGAGACACTAAATAAATTGCGTTGGAGATTTTCCTGAGGTTCTTCATTTCTGAAGATATACTTGAAATGATGCCTGTTTTCTAGCTAAACAGTTTTAGTTTTCCAGTTCTTGAAGTATAATACTATGCATATTTTGTGATTATCGTCAAATTTTCAAAGATGTGTAAATTTTCTTCCCAAGGCTCTTTCTTGCTATATTCAAACACAGTACTTTCAATTCATTGGACTGTTTTGAGCTCATAATATAAAATACACTATATATAAAATTCATGTTGCTATTAAATCAACTAGGGAATTGTGGCATAATATTTCGAAAAAATTCCAATTCAATCCATTCATTTCATGCTACGCTGACTTTATGGAAGAAACTGGATCTTACCATTGATGAAAGACGAGTTACACTTACACGGTAGATCTGGGAACATACAGGGATTTTTATGAGGGACCAATTATGGTTATGAATGTTCTTATATTGCTCGTATCTTATGATGTATTTCATAACATCTTGATTTGGATCAGTGGCATTTTCAGCTTCACTCAGGTGAAAATATAACTAGATGCAATTCTAAAATCTTCCTGGTAAAAGGGCTTATTTTTCTTATGCAAAACATCCACCTATATCCGCATTATGGACTAAGCCTTATTGTATTTTTTTCCCCATTGATGACCTAGCATAAAATACTGAATGAACCCAGCTACAGGTAGTCCTCAACATGATTATAATTGAATCCAACATTTCTGCTGAGACATTTGTTAGGTGAGATTTGCCCCATTTTATGACCTTCCTTGCCACAGTTGTTAAGTGAATCACTGCAGTTGATAAGTTAGTACCACACTTGTTAAGTGAATCTGGCTTCCCCATTGATTTTGCTTGTCGAAAGATTGCAAAAGGTGATCATTTGACTCTGGGACACAGAAACCGTCATAAGTATGAGCCAGGTGCCAAGCATCTGAATTTTGATCACATGATCATGGGTATGCTACAAAAGTTGTGTGAAAAAATGGTCATAAGTCACTTTTTTCAGTGCCGTTGTAACTTTGAACGGTCATTAAATGGACTGTTTTAAGTTTAGGGTTACCTGTACTCTGTTGTTGCACCACGCTTGGTAACTTATCCAACTGAGTCTTGTAAAATAAATCATGATCTAGTGCAATGTATGATCCTGACAATACACCACCATGTACAACTCCTCCTAAGGAAAATCTTCTATGCCATGACAATATAAAATGCTACAACTCTAAACAGGCAAATTCTTCATAGGAAGTCTGCCTCCTTCATTCTTTTCCAACTAACTTCACCATTCTCCTCTTGGTGGACATACTGTGCCTGTTTAATCTGTGTGATAAATAGCATTACTTATTTTATTTTATTTATTTATTTAATTTGTCAATCGCTTACAAGATACTACGTATAAGTATAAACATGAGTAAGAATACAGGAAATAGGTACGAATAAATGGGGACATAAGGACAGGGATGGTAGGCACGATTGTGCACTTATGCACGCCCCTTACAGATCTCTTAGGAATGGGGTGAGGTCAATAGTGGATAGTTTGAGGTTAAAGGAGTGGGGGTTACCACCAGATGGATTTGAAATTGGGTGATAAACAGTACTCAACGAGTAGTCCTTAATAGCACTACATCTACGTGGAGGGAAGTAAGCTGTCTTAGGCCCAGTGTTCTTCAATGTCTTCATAAATGAATTAGATGAGGGAATAGAAGAACTCCTCAAATCTGCAGATGACACTAAGCTGGCAGTAATAGCCAACACCCCAGAAAACAAGTTCAGGATGCAAAAAGACCTTGACAGATTTGAACAATGGGCCCTATCCAACGACATGAAATTTAATGTGGAAAAAAGCAAGATTTTACACTAGGCAGGAAAAACCTAAGTACAGATTAGACAAAACTTGGTTCAAAAACAGTAACTGTGAGAGGGACCTTGGAGTCCTAGTGGATGATCACTTATGAATCAGCAATGTGCGGTGGCAGCAAAAAAAAAAGCTAAACAGGGAGGCATACCATCAAAATTGTGTGAAGTATTAGTACCGCTTTATAAATCTTTAGTAAGGCCACCCCTGGAATACTGCATCCAGTTTTGGTCACCACATTACAAAAAAGATGTTGAGACTTTGGAAAAAGTACAGAGAAGAGCAATTAAGGTGATTAAAGACCTGGAGATAAGAACATATGAACGGTTGCAGGAATTGGGTATGGCTCCTCTGAAGAAAAAGAAGAGGGGTGACATGGCAGATTAGTTGAGAGGCCGCCATAAAGAGGAGGAGGGGTCAACTTATTTTCCAAAGCACCAGAAAGCAAAACTAATTAAGAAGAGCAACCTGAACTTAAGAAGGAACTTCCTAACAGTGAGGACAATTAACCAGTGGAACAGCTTTGCTTTCAGAAGTTGTGGGTGCTTCATTTCTGGAGCCTTTTAAGAAAAGACTGGACAGCCACTTGTCTGAAATGGTGTACGGTCTCCTGCTTGAGCCGAGGTTGGACTAGAAGACCTCCAAGGTCCCTTTCTGCTGTATTCTGATTAAGATTAATCCATTTTGTGCTTTCTCCTCCTCCATTAAAAAAAAAAAAACATCACGTATATGTCACTCTCTATTGCTTACAAATAATGTTACTATTGGTCTTTGTTATAAAGAATCCTTATGGCCAATCTGTTAGTTTATCTCACAATCTATAAATTTGGATGGATTAATTATGATGGAATATTTTAAAGGCAGCTGCAAAGCAGCAATAACAATGGAAACTTTTGACACTAAGTGCAGCAATCAGCCAAGACTTGTATGTTAATGTAACTATGTAAATATTGAGAAAACATATCCCGAATAAGCTAACATATAGCTCTCACAAGGAAAAATTGATTACAAAGATTGTGGTAGGTAGCTGTACTAGTTTACAAGATTAAATTTGCAAGCAACGACATGATTCAACGTGTCAGTTATTAAATCCAAATTTTATTGTTAACATTGCAAATTTTTGCTTCATACATACAGGAACCTTTTTAATTAAAAAAATAGCTTGGAGCTACAATTTTAATATACATGGAAAAGCACCACACCAAATGAGAAACTGCTACCAAAGTATAAGTAATCTCTCCCAACTAGAGAATTAACTCTTAGGAGGAAAAAAAAATGAAACACTAGCGCCACCAAGAGGCAGCTGATAGATTGCAAGATGACAGAAAATGGTAACACATCAGATTGTGTGTAATCTCTCTCCTAGGCTCTTTCTGTCAAAGGAGCCAGCTCAAAAACATCAGATGACATATATTTTGATAAAATATTTCATTAAAAAAAGAAACATTTGAATTTTGGACGGTTTTCCTTTTGCTTTTATTCCGAGTAGCTGCAGCTGTAGCTGTCAGTCATCGCTATTTTATTTTCTGAAATTATACATGTGCACACTTGTTTACCTTGTTTAAAATAATGATCATTCTTTTTTTCTGTTCTTTTCTTTTAAACTTCTATTACTTTCCCCCAAACAGGTTTACAGCAATGAAAGTGCTACTCTTTGTTTTCCTCTTATTTTAAAATCACAATTCTGCTTTCAAATTGTACTATTAAAGCTTAATCATGTACCTCTTCTATGTTTATTTATATCTTGCCTTGGGGGGACGGATGTGTTCATAGGAGCTAGGGATGGGAAAAGAACAAATTAAACCCTATTAAAAATGTAATCACTACCTCAAGCTTAAAATTAAAAAAAATCTTTTCAGAGTTAAATGTAAAAATATTTATAGTAATAAATCATTAAAAAGTATAAATGAGAAGCTAATTTGGGTGCTCTTTCCAAAAGCAGGAAGAATAGGATCAAGTGAAGGTTCACAGTCTGAAAGCATCTCCAGAGCAACCTCTTTTGCAGGAACTCAACAAGTACTGTTCAAGAGCAACCAAGCTACGAAGCTGATTTGGGCTTTAGAAGTTCAACTCAAGCACTTTGAAGCAAATTAGAAAACAATTGGCAAGTAATGCAGATCCTTCAGTATAAATATGATCATCATGATAGCTGTGTGAGTCATGTGAGTCTATTAAATTTATATGCTGCCCATCTCATTATCAAATTGCTTTGTTTTTCATAAACTGTAGAAAAACTGAGCAAGGGTAGGCAGCAAAATTATGAATTTTATAACTTTATAAGCTTAAAATGAATAAGGGATTATCTTTTTCTTCTATTGGAGAATGGACGATTGAGAATTTAGGCCAATATAATCAAGTTGTCACATAATGTATTTCTTGCTATTTCATACTGTTCTTCAATTTCACTTGCAGAGAATAAGCAAAAGTATGCTGGAACTTTGGGATCTCATGACTGCTGAAATATTTACATAATTGGATCAGTGTTCGAGTAGCATGTTAAAAAAGCATCTGCAGATTGAAATGCTATTCATTTACTTTATGATTAATTTGATTATAAACTCAACATTAGCTATTAATATTGCTTGCTTTTTCAATACAGGTGCCTTCATATTTTACTGTAGTGTTTATAATGTGAGTTGCCTTGTGTAGAATTTGAATCTCCCTGAACTTTAGAATCAAGCTCGTTTTAAGAACTCTCTGAAACACAGCACAAACGTTTAATTTTGTCCCATCCATCAAATCCAAATTTAATGATGAGTGAAACAAATTCTGAAGTTTTAAACGTGTTAACTAAGAATCCTTCTAACACATGGGTGTCAAACTGGCAGCGTCACGTTGCTGTCACATGATGTATTGCAACGGTTTTCCCTTCTAAGAGCTAGAAAATGAGATATCCGGCCTGCGGGCCGCCACTTTGACACCCCTGTTCTAATACATCTAGGGAAAAGAAAATATAAAACACAAATATGATTATGAGCAGCACACTTTTATTGGATCAATACTAGTAGCTAAAACCCTAATTCATCAGGGTTTGTAAGGTTGGCGAACATGCAAGATTGACATAAAGTCAGTACAGCCATAGCATCTTCTTCATACAGGCCGAATATCGAAGTTTCACCTGAGGCCCAATTCAAAATGTTCTAAACAGCTGATTAGGAAGGTAACCAAGATGCAAGAAAGACGTCTGAGCTTCCTTTTCAAGGGTAGCCAATTCTTGCACTGTGGGTGCCAAAATATCCACGTGGCCTTTGTATGTTCCACCTGCAAAGATCCAAAGTTTGTTATTCTTTTTCTCTATGTAGCTACAATCATTCAGAATATTGATTATTCTTCTATATATAATCTAATATTTGCCCCTTCAAAGATTATTAGTCAAAGATGAAGTGAGCCTCTTGTGGCCTGCATGTGGATCCCGGTCTATTGTTCAGCCTTGCCCAAAATAATATTCTCAAATTCGGCAGCAAATCATTGAATTATGCCAGCATAATTGTCCATTTTAAAGACGTAGTTTAAAAAAAAGTATATTAAGCCTCTGATAAGTTTGCTAAAGAAACTGCCTCAAAAATCCAACTACTGTACTCAAAAAGGATGCCAAATTTGGGGCCTTGCCACAGATAGCATTGCTATACCTGTGTGATTTGGGGTGTTTGAAAACAAGCAAGCAGGTGAGAACATATAAGTTGTATTTCTTTTTCTAGATTTTAAAAAATGTGCCTTTACAGCTATCTTAGATTTATGTACAGTAATCTTTTGAAATAGCAAATATCCATGCTATATCAAATACTTTTAAAAATTTGAAATTCTGAAATAAATACCATTCTGAGTATGCAATCATTTGGACTGTAATTATACTGTATCCAGAACTCAACAGATAATATTCTTTTAAAATATCAGTATAATAAGTAAATCTCCCCCTGTGTTTACAAAATAGATCCCTCCCCCCCTTTTTTTTAGTTTGTGGAAAGAATTCCAGTTTGTGGAAAGAATTCCAGTCCTAGGGAGACAAAGTTTAATTACAAGTATTTTAAATACAAAATACTTTATATAAGGAATTACATACTAGATAGTATAATAGATATTATAATATCTAGATATAATTAACATTAGCCTAACACTCAAAATTATAAGATTTTATGGAATACTTACATACCTATTTTTCTATTGTTTCCATATTAATTTATTATTTAAAAAAATTAAGCAAAATAGATGCTTATATTAAGATATAATTCTTAGCTAGAAAATGCACACTGAATACCAAGTTAGAGAGAAAATAGCTGAGGAATAGGTTGTTAAAAATATAAGATCTGTTTGATAATTATATTTCTACACATTAAGTGGGGAGTTAAAAATAAGCAATAGGCAGAAATTTCATTTTCCAAGTATCTTCTATTAACATCTTTATTAAATCTAGATTGTATTTGCAAATATGAAAACCAGTTCATTTTTACACCTTGTTCTTCCAACACTTGCACAGATTTAAGTTTACCCTTTTCATTCGATATCTCACCATATCTAACTGTTTGTTCCTTTTTATATATTATTGGATAAGAAAAAGCTTCAATGGTAGATATCAATAATGGAATTTTTAAGTAGTATTGTCCTTTTATCTCTTCCCAGTTCAAAAGCAATGCTTCTCAAATGTAATGTCTTCTAAAATACCCCCGTGTTTTAGTTCCCTTGTACCAAAGGAAAGCATGCCATCCCAACAGCAAGTCATGGCCTTCTAAGGTCAATAGTCTACTGTTCCTTAGTGTTATCCATTCCTTTACCCACATCAAACTTGTCGCCTGGTAATACAACCCCAATTGGGCACGGCAAACCCTCCTCTTATTCTTGCATCCTGTAACAGTTTTAGTTTTATTCTTCCTTTTTTACCCTGCCAGAAGTATTTCAGCACAATTCTATTTAAGTCTTCAAAGTATTCTTTTCCTAGCCGGATTGGAATTGTCTAGAATAGATATAATATTCTAGGCAATACGTTCACCTTAATTGTAGATATTCTCCCAATCAATGATAATTGTATCCCATTTTGTCAAATCTGTCGCAATCTGCTGTTTGAGTTTAAGATAATTATCCTCCTTCAATGTGCTACATCTTGGTGTAATGTAAATCCCTAAATACTTGTTTGTGACCTGTATTTCTAAAACTTCTTCCAACTTTTTCTTTCATCTTGCTAAAATATTTTTGTTAATATCTTTGTTTCGTCTTTATTTATTTTCAAACCTGCTACTTTTCCATATTCTTCTATTTTTTTCTATTAATTTAGGTGCTGTTTCCAATGGATCCTCTAATATGAATACTAGGTCATCTGCAAAGGCTTGCAATTTATACTCTTCCTTTTTGATTTTCATTCCTTTTATTTCTTTTTCTTCTCTAATATTCCTATTTAGCACTTCCAATGTTAACACAAACAGCAGAGGTGACGGTGGACAACCTTGCCTTGTCCCTTTTCTTATATCTATAGATTCTGTTAGTTCTCCATTTACCATAACATTTGCAGTTTGTTTATGGTATATTGTTTCAATGGCTTGGATAATTTTTTTGCCAAAGCCCATTTGTATCAATTGAAATAAAATGAATCGCCAGCTCATATTATCAAAGGCTCTTTGTGCGTCTAAAAACATCAAGGCCATTTGCTTTTCAGGATGCACCTCATAGTATTCCAGAGTATCCAAGATAATTCTCACATTATCTTTGATTTGTCTCTTTGGCAGGAATCCATTTTGATCAATATGAATAAAATTATTTAAATATCTTTTAAATCTTTCTGCCAAAATTGAAGCAAAAATTTTATAGTCTGAATTTAATAGGGATATAGGTCTGTAATTTTTAACTTGCTGCAGGTCTGTATCCTCTTTCGGTATAAGTGTAATATATGCTTCTGTCCATGTTTTGGGTATTTATTTATTTTTTGCATAACTTCGTTCATGACTTCTAGCAGAAGAAAATTCAATATTTCCTGAAAAGTCTTGTAAAATTCCACTGGTAAGCCATCTGGACCTGGTGCTTTTCAACATTCTGTTTTTTTTAAGGCTTCTGTTAATTCCATCATTGTTATATTCCCTTCTAGCATTGTTTCAGTGTCTTTAGGTATCTGAGGTAGATTTGCTTTCTGTAAATATTGCTTAACTTTTTCTTCTTGAATATTCTCTTGAAAATACAATTTCCCATAGTAATCTTGTATAATTTTTTTCTTCTCCTTGTTTCCATTGCAAACATATCCTTCACTTATTCTCTTAATCCTTCTTGATTCTCTTTCCTTTCTCAGTTTATAGGCTAGCCATCTGCCTGGTTTATTTGCATCTTCAAAGTAATTCTGTTTAGCATTTTTTATTTTTTGTGCTAATTCCTCTTTTTCCATTAATTCCATTGTATGTTTAATTATATCCATTTTATTTTTAATGTCTTTTTTTGCGGGGACTCCTGTAGGTCTTTTTCCAATCTTTTATAATCATCCTCCAATGTTTTGAAAGTCTTTTTCTGTTTTATATTTATTTTCCTTATATAGTCTATTATCAAGCCTCTTGTGTAGGCCTTCATCGTGTCCCAGAGGTTCTGTAAAGATGTATCTTCTTTTCTATTTCTTTAAAAAAGAAAGCAAGTTCTTTCCCTATTGTCTGTTTAAAGTATTTTTCTTTTAATATCGCGTTATTTAGAGTCCATCTAGATCTCCTCTTATATCCTTTCCAAATAGCTGTCACTGGAATATGGCCTACCCAGGTGCTTGTTTGTATTTCAATCCCTCGTACATTAGCCAGTAATTCTGCTGACATCCATATCATATCTATTCTAGGCCATGATGTATGCCTGTTTCAGTAAAAAGTGTACTGCTTACTTTCCACATTTCTCTCTCTCCATGCATCTTTTAAGTTAAGTTCTTCTGTTATTTGAAAGAAAGATTTTGGTAGTATCTTTCTAGCTTTCTTTGTTGATTTCTACATTTTATTGTCCAATTGATCATTAATTATTCCATTAAAATCTCCCATCATATAAATATTAACATAGTCCAATTCAATTATTTTCATATGTAATTTTCTGTAAATTTCTTCTTGGTTATCATTTGGAGCATAAATTGCAATTAAAAGTGTTTTAACATTATTGTCCATTATTTCCACCACCAAAATCCTTCCATTGTCCTCTATATAAATTAGTTCTGTCAAAATTGTATCTTTAATATATAACACCACACCCCTTTTTTTAGATTGCGCCAGCGACGTAAATAATTTCCCTAATCTACATTCATGTTTTTTTTTAATATGTACTTCTTGTAGGCAAATTATATCAAATTTTAATTTCTCTAATTTGTGAAATATCTTCTTTCTTTTAGTAGCCAAATTAAGTCCATTTATGTTAATCGTAATCAGTTTTCTTTCATCCATGTTAGGCTTTTTGAGGTGGTTTTATTGCTCTAGTAGGTCTTAATTCTCGTTGCTCTCTGGGCACACCACCTACTGCACATTCTTCTTCAATTACTGCTATACACTCCTCTTGGAATTCAATTAACGACTCTTCCTTTCTTGCTCTTCCTCCTTTCCTCTAAGATATTCAAAGTAGAATAATTCAGCTTTTTCAACTGTGTCAATTCTGTGCCTTTGTTCCTGCCAGGTGAACAAGAGGCCTTCTGGCATCAACCCTCTGTAGTTCACTTCTCTTTTAAGTAACTCTTTAGTCAAAAATAAGTATTCTTTTCTCATCTCTCTGACTCTTCTTGGTACCTGTTTCAGCACCACCATTTCTTTGTCTTTATACTTTAATGTTTTCTCTCTTGCCCCCTGCAGTATCTGTGTCTTGATAATCTTTTTAGCAAATCTGATGTGATCTTCTCCTGTTTTTCATTGCATATCTTGTATAGACCCGGAACACTTCATCCATCCCATCCATCATCTTCTCTTTGGTTATCTCTAACACTTCTGCCAGTATTTCTGTCATTATTTCAGCAACATTTTCACCTTTTCCTTCTTCTACATTTTGAAATCTTAAGAAAAATTCTGATCTATCAATTTCCCATCCTAATGGTTCACACCTGCCCTTCTTGACATCGCTCAATCGAGTGTCAATGTCTCCAATTTTCTTGTCCTTTTGTGTATCATCTTCTTCAATTTTTTTGAATCTGTCTTCATATTTCATCATCATCTGTTGAATATTTTCTACTTTCTCATCTGTTTTTTCAGTTCTTTGCTCAATATTCTCCATTCTCTTTTCAATCTTCTGAATTCCTTGCATAATCATCTGTAATGTTATCTCGTTCTCTTTCTCCTATTGTAAGGTTGTCTATATTGACTGTTATCCTCCAGATGGTGAAGAGGCTATTGGTATTGAGGAAGCTGGGCCTGTTATCTTTCTGCTCATCTTGTAGTACTTATCTGTGAAGAAAGAAAGAAAAAAAAGAAAAGAAAACGGGGAAAAAAAAAAGCACAGGCAGGCAACCGCTACTCCAAAAAATAAAAAGGGAAAAGAAAAAATCTTCAGGCACTTGTATACCTTAATCCAACTGTTTCTCTTAATAAGAAAGAGAAAAGGAAGAGAGTGAAAAAAAATAATAAAAAAAATTACATTCTAGTTCCTGGAATAAAAGGTTGAGATCCAAATTTAAAAATCTAACTGGGGGGAGGGGGGGGGTAAAAAAGGAGGTGAGAAATAACAACAGTTCTGATGTGAAGCCAGCCACTGCCACTAAGTATCCAAGGTTTTTTAATAAATCAGCTCATTCTAGTTCCAGTATTTTCAAGGTCACTTCAGTCTTCTTTCTTTCAACTTCAGCTCCAGAGTCTAGTTATCTATAGTTTCAGAGATGGGCACCTGTGTAAACAATCTGTCACTATCTTTTCCAGAGCAAAGTCCTTGAGTATAGCACAAATAGACAAACAAATAGAAGAAAGAAGAAACAATATATCCAAGCCTCTAGATGGCAGTGTTACTTTTTTTCCCTTCGCTTTCACTCCCCCCTCATATATCTAATGCCAGGAACAAAAAGAAAAAATGAAATCCTTCTTTTTTTTAAAAAAAAAAAGAATAAATCTCAAATCAAAAAGAAGAGTCTTAATCAAAACAGACTTTTAAAAAAATTGAGAAAAAAAAAGACCAGTCCAGTTTAAAATTAAGAAGCTTTACCAAATTCAAAGTTCCAATAAAAAGGGAAAAAAGAAACACTTTCACTTTAACTAGCTTAATTTCGCGTCTTAAACTCTTTTCTCTTCACTTTTAATTGTACTTTAAATCTTTCAGGGTGTTCTCTTCAAGAAATAATAAGTAAAAGTTCATCTCACCAAACTGACACACTTTCTTTCAATCTCTTCCGTTCTGGAGCTATCCCAGCTTCAGCAGCTTGAATGGCTGCCTCTCCGCCACCGGCAAAAGGGCTTTTCCTGGATCAACCAAGGACTTTGCGATGTCCCTGGGATCAACACGACATGCCCTTACTGATCACCGTCTCTACGGGACAGTTTAGGCCCATCGGGACCGTCCAGCAGTGGAGATATTGACAGTGATCTTGGAGGTTCAAGATCGCACATCGTACCGCCACGATGCCAGCTCCGCCCTCCCTATTTTTTTCAAGCATCTTGAAGTATTTTACCTGGAGGAATTTCCTTACATAAAAAGGAGCCAACAAAAGAACCCTAAACTGGTTTTGAAATAAAAAGAGAAAGGAATCCTAATTCATATTTTTTTAACAATTTCAGGGGAACTGAAATTGGAGAGCAACACTAAAATTCCTGAAAAATATTTTGCCATGTTGAGTCATTTAGATAAGGTATAATTATCAGATATAGTAAAATTATAATTCACCAGAAAATGCAATTCACTATTCCAAAATGTAGATTTATCCACTTACCACCAGCTGCTCTTCTTTTCCCATAACTGACCTTGCCATCAAAATCATCTACTGGAACCTTAATATCTGGCTCAACCTGAGTAATGGTGCAGTTCAGATGCTCTTCTATTTCACCTAAAAGCTGAATGCCATAAAAGAAATCCAGGCTGTAACGTGTTCTCCAATTCTCCATGACAGACAATGCAATGGATGGTTTATACATCTCACCAAGCATCAGCTCACCAAACAAATCATGATACTGTTTAGCATACTAAATTGATCTCAGGAATTACTGAGATCAATGAATGAATAAATTGAAATATGTCAGTAATGTCTTAGGAGCAAACAGTATGATGAAGAAAGCAGACCTTATGGCTAGGCTGTATATATGATGTATTCATGCACAGTACTGTAATTTATTTAAGGCAAACACAATATTCTGAAACAAATTAAAACTTTGCTCAATGAGATTTAGAAGGTTAGTGTACTCCTGATCTTCTAGGAGTCACTAGGAATAAGAAATGATACTTAAGCACAAACTAATTGTCTTGTGTTCTATTCATAGAGTGAATGCTAGCAGAATTTAAACACTGAATTTGCAAAATAATAAATTTTTATCTGAAATTGAATTAAATTATACCAATCATCATTTTGTTTTGCAATACTTGTTACAATCTCAAAAACCCAAAATCCATTTTAGCATTACAGGCAATTAATGATAAAAGAGATGGAAATCAATATTAATATTTCTAAGGAAGATTTTTCTGCTTAGAAATCATTTTCTATAGAAATGTGGAGACTATTTGTCTCTCCAAAAACCTTCTAATCTGATCCCCCAAATTCCTTAACCCTCCTCAACCATTTTAAGGACATTCAGACAAAATGTCACCTAGTTAGCTTGTAGTAATAAGAAGATCCTTGTATACGATGAGCAATCTTTTTATTATTTTTTCATTAAAATATCAAAGATTACAAATAACATGTCGTAAAACATTAAATAACATTAGATATTAAGTTAAATGATATTAGATATGAAGTGCATTGTAGAAAAGACTGTGCCCTTTAAAGAAAAAGCCTAACCTGTAATGAGTAACAGAAATTACAACTTCAGTATCACATCTCTACCAACTTGCCTTTGGGAATTCTACTGTCCATCTGAAGTTCTAGTTTCCAAGAAATTGCAAAAGGGTCTAGCTATGAAAATGTAACTAGCCTTATGCCAGAATACTGATTTTAATTAGAACCTTCCAGTGGATCAGTGATTGGGGCTTGAATATTTTATATCCACTTTGAAAATCTGCATCTAAAAGGACCAGGCCTGTTCTTGAAATGCAAAGTTACATAGGAAAGATTTTACTGGAACCAGTAAAAAGGTTACCTGCATCTCATTGTACCAAATAGTGCAACCACCTTCATCCTTCAGTCTAGTATTGTAGCAGCTCTTCCCACGACTGGGGCATGAATGATACCAAACCTAGAAGAGAAGCCTGAAGGTTACAAGAAGAAAAAACCCGAAACACTGGAATATAGTTAAAAGATTTAAGGAGGAAAATTAAAATGACCAGCATGGCATTTTTGAAATACAGAAAGCTAATTGTCATAATATTGAATTTAGTCTTATTTATATTTTTATAAATATAAATACACACACACTTTGAGAGTGGGCATCAGAATTTCATTTTTTTTATGTGCGCCAGTGTATTCACAGAAAAAATGTGAGAAGAAGAGTTATCTTATCTTAAATACCCAGCAAATGAATCTTATTCCATTGTATATCTTCATGTTTTAAGGAAGCAGGACTTACTTTTTCCTTCTCTGTTGCCACCAGGGAAATTGCCAGGCCCATGCTAAAGAAAAGCAAAACAAACAAAATGGGAGCCTTCATTTCATCATCTCAAAAGTGATGCAAGATGAAGGGCAAATAAAAGTTTCCAACGTACCGTTCAGCTCGTCCCACTCTGCCAATCCGATGAACGTAATTCTGTTTTTCATCCGGAAGTGTGACATTGATAACTGTTAAAAAGGAAAGGGTGTTTATAGGTTTATTATCTCTATTAGTGGTTAATAAATTCCCCCCAAAATGGTCACATTATTTGAACTCTTCAAAGTGTTATTTCTGGGGGGGAAAGACAGTAATTGGTTTCACCTTGACAGAAATAGGCATGTTCTGACCCAGCTCCCCAAATATGACAAACTCTCTGAAGTTAACTCAAAGATTTCTTTATTAGGAGAGCCAGCAGCCCTGGTAAAAAGTTTCTCTCTCCCTGCAGGCTAATAAGTCTGTCTGGCAAGGAGATGAACAGTTGTTTGCCTTATCTATTCATCTCCACCCCCCGTCTTTTATCCCCAGAGCTAGGGTGGGGCTTCGCTAGCAGCTGTGGCTCTTCCTTCCCAAGGACCCGCACACAGATTTCCACTGCTCTCCTCTCCTCTGCCTTCTGCACAACCATGTTAGGCACTGCACCCAGATGTTCCTCCTCTTCCTCATCAGCCACCTCCAGACCTCGGGGCTGTTGACTCTCCATCTGAGGGCTGACGCCCAGCCTCCACCTCTGTCTCTCTCCTCTCTCTCTCAGCTCCATTCCCTCTTCCCCCTCGGAGCTCTCAGTTTGCCTCCTCCTCATTTGATTTGACTGCTGGAGGGGTCGGCAGCCGACAGGCCACAACAAGGCAATGGAAAATATTAACCATAAAGTTTTACACGTATATTAATGAAGGATTACAGTGAAGGATTAAAAGAATGCATTTATTATTTAAATGTGTGGGTTAATAAAATCATAAAGTAGTTATTAAAAGCAAATTAAAACAAAAAATATCTAACATAGACTCAAGCATTTTAACATCTTATCCTATTTTAATATTGTTACGTTCAAGTTCATGTCATTCAATTATATCAATTTTTTCCCTTTAGTATAATAATGAATTTCTTTTTTAATCTTGTAGTTATCTCCTATGCCAGAATCTTCCTTTTCTCCACTCTGCACACAAAATATATCTGTGTCTAAATCCCAATCGCATCTGCCCACATTCTTAATCTCAACAGACTTGTTAGCCTCACATTAATTGAATTTGGAAGTCACACTGAACACAACCTTGTATCAATTTATAATTTGCACTAAATTCAGTGTTGCATTATTTGAACCCCCCCCCCCAAATACCTAAGTCACAACATAAGTGCATAATATACACTTAGCATGAGCAGCTGCCAGGGCTAATAGGGACCTCGAGAAAATTCACTGAACTAAATGCCCAATTGATATTTTATCTATCCCACTCTGGTAGGATATGTGCAGCTTACTTGATTCCCCAGCAGCAGAATTTCTACTGCCAACTCAACAACTTCATGCCTTCAGCTAAGAGTAGACTTTCTTGATGGTGGTGATAAAGTATTGACAATTCTTACCATAAGGCACACCAGTGATATCAATTCCTCTGGCTGCCACATCTGTGCAGATCAAAAATCTGACATCTGCTTTCTAAACAGAAAAGGTGAGTAAACTTGGGTGTCTTCTGATTTCATTTTTATATAATCATTATAATTTAAATACAAGATATCAACTATAATTCATAAAGCTATAAAGCTGAATCCAGAGATACCTTACCATAAAATGACTTTGACCTAATTGCCAATGGCAAAGATTATTTTACTAATTCCTCCTACTCCTAACATGCTTCACTTTCCCAAACTTCTTAGGAGTCCCACAATCTAAATGCTGCTGTTGACAAAATTATCTCCTCGTTCTTCTGCAGTGGCTATCCCTGAGCAACTGGCTATTAGAATAACAGAGTGCTATAGTACTAAAGGCCCTGGATACAAACTCAGATCAGCTGCAGAATTTTTTATTTGATTTTTATCCCTTCTTTATTATTTTGATAAATAACTCAGGACGATGAACTTATCCAATACTCCTTTCCCTACAACGACCAACTGTGAGGCGGGTTGGGTTGAGAGACAGCGACTGGTTCAAAATCAACCAGCGGGCTTTCATGGCTAAGGTGGGACAAGAACTCCACTCTCCTGATGTCTAGACCAATACCTCAAACCCGTTTGTTAGATACTCTTTTGTTTTATAGGCTTGTACAGAATTCAGTAGAATTTAGTTTCCTGTGGAGATAGTTAAGTTATATGCAGTCCCTTCTCTTAATATATTGCATTAGCTATGAAGAGTGGTGGTTTCGGTCCAGATGAGTCTATGGGCCTAATCTGGAGCTTTATGCAAAAGAAAAAGATCTTGGACTGGATGCAGATGTGTATTTTATTTTAGGAATGATGCAAGAATGAGCGGAGTAAGAATGGCAAGAAGCTTATCCCTTCTCCATTGTAACACCTCCCCTCTCCATTGTTGTTCTGGACCCTCCAGAAGAATGTGGCTTCACACATTGTACTTCTGAGCTTGCGTGAGGAATGGTGAATTAATGGAAAGGGCTATCCCTGCCTCTTCATCCATTGTTGGATTCCTGGTCACTCTCTGAGTAGGCTTAAAAAGTAAGTGCCTCACCATTTGTGGAGGACTGTCTGGAGACATCTCCCTGACTCTTGAACAGACAAGAAGAATGGGATATGATATTTTAAGTTGGGCAATTATTAACGATTCATTGATTAAACTGAAATAAATGCCCATTTATCAGCTCTCAGTATGGAGACCAATGACTTATTATTACATTAAAACCATAATTACCTTAAAACGCTCCAAATTCTGCTTTCTCTCATGAGGCTTTCTGTCTCCATGAAGGCAAACACATGAGAATTGATGTCCCTTCCTATCTGGACCTTAAAAACAATCAGAAAATATTAGGAACCCTATATATTATGTTACTATATTCTCACAATCAATGTGCATACATGTGTTTGCACGTATGTCTGTGTATTTCTCTCTGTGTATAATACATTAAAAGTCCCTGCAGATGTGCATCCAGTGCACATCAGGGGGTGACATAGTTCTCTTTATTCTTAGGCTTCCTTGCTTAACTGCATTTAAAGAGAGAGAATGTGTCAAAGCCCATCAACACATTTTTGCAGTTAAAATAACAGAATTTAAAGTTTTTCACACTGGGAAACGTAGGAGCAATGTTTGAACTGAGAAAGAGGAGACCAAAATGTAAGTAACTGATATATGAGAAATGTGTGTATGTGAGATGCACGCATGCACAATTACTTTTAATATGTCCTCTGTCTACTTTCACCGCAGCCCACAAGGTTGCATGCCTATGTCACTGGCCTTGAAGACATTGTTCTAATCCTTTATATTTGCTTTACTGTCAGAGAAGCTAAACAGGAGATTGTTTCACTTGTGGGATAGACAACGGGACTAAAAAAAATGAAAAAGGATCCTTGAATTGCTGACAAGAAATATTTTTTTGTAGTGGAAATGCCTATGTGATGCCAATTCCACCCTTTAAAGTAGTGAAAAAAGAACAATTCGTTTTGGAAGAAGGAAAGTATCTTTTGTGAAAAGTTATCCTTTGGGGAAAAGAACATGGAAAAAATAAATTCATAAAAGAAAGGAGCAAAGCATTAATGGGCACAGAAATACTACCTCCTCCTTGCTGTATAAAGTATTGTTCCATATTGTCACAATCTATCTTAGTTCTGCAAAATACTATTGCTTGGTCCATCTTGTGTTCCTTGATGGCACGAATAGCATATTCTCCTTTTAAAATCTTAATTGCTTCTGACCACATTTCTGTAAAAAAAAAGTACTATATTATTCCTACATGATACCTCAAATACATTACATACCCAGCAATTTATTCTAAAATTACATTAATAAAATATAGTAGTTGTTTGGGAATAATACTGGTAAGTTTTTTTTAAAAAAACCTCTTCTGATCAAGGAAAAAAACCAAGGGTCTGAACTTTAAAGCAAAACATAATAAATTGGTTCAGACAGACTTTGCATCATTATATTTATGATGAATATATAGCAGCTTGATCAATGCAATCATTACCTGCAGAATTTGTACCAGGTCTTGTATTATCCTTTGCATGCACCTCATCCGTCTGCAAAGTTAAATTATGATAATTAAAACTGTGACTAAAAGGTATGTCATAGCAAGTTGATCTACAAGATGTCTTAAATCACAATGCTGCCTTAAAATATAACGAATATTTTATTGGGCAGAGTTCTGGGGAAAATGCAGCATACAAGTGTGTGTGTGTGTGTGTGTGTGTGTGTGTGTGTGTGTGTGCGTGTGTGCGTGTGCGTGTGCCTATGTATATTTACCCGAAGACTTCCAGTCTAATGAATAATTCCCTCCAACTAAAAAGTGTTAAAGCCTTTTTTTTTTTAACTTACTTCCACTAATTTCTTTGGATAAATATGCGAACCCATACCTCTTAAGAGTGCAACAGAATGATTATTTCTCTCATCCAATTATTTATTTAAATACACATTCAAATAACATTATTTTGCTCCGGTCTCAGTTCATCCCTGCAATCATCTAAGTGGAGATAAACTTCTGGTCAATTTTCATGAATTCGATCAAGTCAGCCTGTAGGACACTGTACCTATTTTCATGCATTACCTTGTACAGACTGCCCTGCTTTCACTTTTTAGCCAATTATGATAAGTTAGACCAGTCTTTAAAATTCCTGCCCTATCTGAGGTTTGAAAGCAAGTGTCCCCCTAACTTTACAACATTCCCCTTTGACCTACGCGGTGTCTGTTTGTCTTGAATTTTCAGCAAACTGGAAACCAAACACTTCGGTTTACACTTACTCTGATGTGATTTTTACCAAGCCTCTCCCAGAGTTTGTCAGTTTTGGGGTTCACAGGAACAACAACATGGTGCACGGTATCTGGGACAGAATCCTCGCCTTTCAAATCCACCCAAGTGGGGAAGTGCATAATCTTCTCAGATAACTTCTTTACATCAAATGAATGCAGAGTTGCAGAGCACACAATGACCTTAAAACACAAACAGTTTCGGGTTAAGGCTGAAGTTTTAAAATAAGGATGTCTGTACAGAGTGCACATTGTTATACTTCATATCAGTTACTGAGCTTTTTGTAACCGGCAATGATGAATGAAAACACGGCCACATCAGTATTCAAATTTGAGATGTGGTACAATTTGCTGAAAACCCCTAAGCCTCTTGGACAGTTATTTATGAGAAATTAAGATGGGAAGATGGTGCTGTTTTGCTAACAGGAAGAGGGATGGGGGAGATTTCAACCTCTAATTAAATTTCTTCTTGGATTATTTTTTCTGCTGAAAGCATAAAATCCCACAAAGGCATGGCTCAGAGGGAACTGTGAATTTACCAGATTCAACCCTCATTTATTTTCCTTCAAAAATTCCCAGGGCCAGGGCCTTTGTTCACATTCATGAAGGAGAAGAAAAATGGTAGAACTGCCCTTCTGCCCTCTTGTTTTGGGAAACTGGCAGGGTGCTGAAAATAACAGAAATATCTCTCCCAACAGCCTTTCCTTCCTCCTCTTATTAGGATTGGTCTCTTTAATTGTAACTGTATTGCCCTAGAACCCTGAGCCGTATCTTTTGTTTTACCAAAATGCCAATAAAGGAATGGTTAAGTGGAAAACTATGCTTATTGAATGGGTACAATTTGTCACACATATAGTTTGAAGTCTTGTGTGATGTTAAGATGTACACACATAATACAAAAACAAAAAAGCAGCCAGCCTCTTTATTTGGTTAGCATGGCCAGTTCTCCCTGGTGTCGGTTTTTCACACCACTTTATGATGCAACTATCCCAGCCAACAGATACAGAATAAAGCGTGTCTGCCTATGATTTGCTAAAGCTCCCCTGTCTAAAATTAGAGACAGATAACAGATCAACATTTGCTAGATTATAGTATTAACAAATTTTGGAGAGTGTTGACGGAGAAATAGCAACCAAACTTCATACCTGCAGCCTTTTCCCATCAGAGGTTATCTGGGGAATCTGAGAATGAATGCGGTTGATGAAATCTGAATAACCTTGACTAAGGAGGCCATCCTGTGTGGGGAACAGAGATGTTAACAGTCTCATTAGATTGCCTAGATTCTGAAGTTAAGATGTGTGCCTATTAGTCAGATGATTCCATCAAATCCGGTTAACAAATTAGGACATGCTGTAAAAAAATCAGACAGATGAAAATGAGGACAGATGGCAGCCACACTGAATAGGTATAATTTGTCTTGTTTATCTCACATTTGTGTCACGTCAGTGGGCCTGGAGACCACAAAGGGAAATGGAGCCGATCAAGAGGTTAATTTGATTGGGTTGCTGCTGTCATGGGGGAGGAGTTTTTCAGATGGGTTTTTTAAAATGGATTTTTCTGTTGTGGTTTTTTTTAATGTTGTAAGACTCCTGGAGTCCCCTATGTGTGACTTGAGCAGCCATATAAATTTGTTTAATAAATAATGAATGAATTTGGGAAGTACACAAAAAGCTAGCAATAAGAGAGCAGAGTTTGGTCTAGTGGTTAAGGCACCAGGCTTCTGGCCAGGAGATTGTGAGTTTTAGTCTCATCTTAGGCACGAAAGTTGGCTGGGTGAACATTGACCAGTCACCCTGTCTCATCCCAAGCCACTTCACAGGGTTGTTATTGTGGGGAGCATAGAAACAAGAAAGTGTATGGGGTGCTATTTCAAGCTGCAATGCAACCGCTCTTCTGAGTCACCTTTCTGAAAAGACATTTGCCGATCATTTCCAACTGCAAAACTTAGCCAGGATTGAGTGGCTCTTGCACGTCTCTTTTAGCTTCTGATAAAAGCAAATTGGCCATGCAGTGCATGCCTTTGTCAATAGGTCACGCATGCAAGAGTCAAGGGAATTATCGCCAAAGCACTAATGTGTGTGTTTGGTTTAACAGATCGCTTTAAAAAGTGCTTGATACTCACCGCCTCATCAAGAACTAGGAACCTAACTTGAGATAAAGCCAATTTTCCAGTCGAAACAAGATCGTCCAGTCTTCCTGGAGTTCCAACAACTATGTCCACCTGTAAAATTAAAAATGTATTTGACAAAATAAAATGGAAGCAGCAACACCATTTTTATGCCTTTCTTTAAAAAAATCTCTCTTTAAAAACTTTTAAAAGAGATGCTTAAAACAGGGTAAGGAAAAGCAATGCTCAAAGAGCATTAACTGTACACACTGCTTTATAATCATTTTTCTTTTTGATCTCGATTTGCATCCATACACGTGTAAATTATTGAAGGGGAACAAGAATGCTACTTCAGTATTTAAATCGTTATCAATTCATATTGTAGGCTTCATCCATTCCAGTGTTACCGGGGCGGGGGGAGGGATTGTATTTGCCTTTTTTTGGTTACAGTCATCTTTATAATTTAAAAAGAAAAAAACTTTTCAATATGACTTGAATAACTAAATAGACCTGTATACTTAAAAAAAAAATTACACAAGATGAACAAAGTCCCACTTACCCCTTGCTCCAAAACAGAGAGCTGCTCTCTTGCAGCAACACCACCAATAATCAGGAGCTCCCTAGGAGAAATAGAGCAGCAGACCATATATTATGCTATGAAGTCATTTTCTCCAGAACAAAAAGAAAAATGTAATGAATTTACGTGGAAGAATATAACTCTCCATTCATTCTCACCTCTCAATTCACTCATTTGACTTTACCTTAATTTAGGATTTTCAACATATTTTTTGAATTGTTTCACATTGTTCAGTGTTTGCTCTGCTAACTCTCTGGATGGCTCCACGATCAAAGCTTTGGGAGCGTTTGGTAAATTCTTGGACTGTGCTACTTGTGCACTTCCTGAAATGGGACAGGACAGAAATGTTGGTTTTGAGATGATAGCCAAAAATAATTTTAAATCTATTTACTTATAACATTGGAAGGTCTAAAAGATAGTACTCTGGATTCACATAAAGTTGCATGAAAAAAATAGTTTCATAGAAATCAATGAGATTAAATTAAATTACTCATCAGCCATCTGAGTTTATTTGATTTCAACGGGTCTGTTATAACTATGCCTTATTTTATCTAAGAACCTTTCGTGTTCTTAACTCCGTTATATAAAATGCCTTTCACACTGATTTATTTATTAAGAACATTTATATGGCTGTCCAACTTACTCATAGTAACTCCAGGTGGCTTACAGAAATAGCTAATTCTTAAATTTGATGAGGCCTCTAACATACCTGTGTGCTGGGACTTCACAACATTACCCTCAGCAGCTTTATCAATAGCAGTGAAACCATCTTTGGGTGGAAACTTAAAGTCCTCTTCACCAAAGTTGAATTTTAATTCAGCATTCTGAGAAAAAAAATATGTGAAGTTTTCCAAAATGGGGAAGACTAAATACTAAAACATTTTCATTGATTGCTGCCGGTGCAGTAAAATCTGCCTCCAAAAACCATTTTCAGATATTTTTCCAAACTGCTATTTCCCATACAACTTGATATCTGACTTGCTCCAACATTAAATCCTCTGTTTTTATCTTAATTAGCATAATCTGCAACCAGAGGGCATTTGCGAGACTGATTTGTTAAGTGAATTGTAAATACAGGATGACATCTTGCCATTTGAAAAGAACACAACCTCTAAAAAACTGTTATTACTAATGTCTTAAATAATTTTTGAGATTTACCCTCCAAACTACTTTATTAGTATTCCTTTAGGGATAAAGCTGATTAACCATTTTTAATGCTATTACCTATGTCTCTAATTATGTTTAAGATCTATTCTTCAAACAACTCTATTAGTGTTTCCTTACAATAAAGATGACTATCTATTTTCTTGGTTATGCTGTAACTAGGCACAGAAGTAAAAATTATAACACCTGCTTATCCTCCACTATCCCTATAAGACACAGCAGTTTTAATAATCATTAAAGAGGGACCCTGAGGTGTTTTTAAATCTGGTCAGCATAGCTCTTAACCCTAGTGAAGGAGAAAAAGATTACCTTTAGGACACAAGCTGGAAAGAGTGCCTGGCTTTTTAGGTGCTGTGGAATTTCAAATGCAAGTCCAAGATCTTTTCCTGGAAGAAAACGACTCTGTGGAAATATTTATCTCAACAATACAATTAATTAATTGCTTAGTGGGAAAAACCTAGATCACTTACCGTTTTTTGAAAATGAGATTTGACCTTTATCGGCATCTATATAACAACCTATTGTGTCATGCATGGTGAATTCCTGCAAAAACAAAAGGAAGTTGTTATATCCATGAAACTTGTCATGTGAAGGCAAAAGATGAAAATCAAAGATGACCTGAGAGGAGGTCAAGGAACAATTTTACAGACAAAATCACTTCTATCTGCTCAGAACTAGATGCTAGGTGGAAGAAACATACAAGATGATAGATGTCTGCCCTTTGAGGTAGTCCAGATAAGAAAGAAAAAAATCTGAATGCTAACACTACTTTTATTGTAAGGTTACCATAACAGAATCTGTTGAAAGGACTTCTCTCCTTCCTTGTCCACCATCCAGAGAATCAGGGAGGGTCTTTTCTGAGAAGCTTTCTCTGTTCCCATCCATTCTGTGGACTGAGATCTCTCTTATCTGACACCTGGCCTGGTTACAATTCTCCTTTCTTCTGTCTCTTAGGATGTTCTCATCGGCTATTATAACAAGTAACATCCTCTAAATCCAACCCTGACATTACTTTTATTTATAAACCTCAAAGAATCCTAAGCTTATGCTCACTTCAAATATTTTCTTTGGCCATAATATAATGACTCTCTCCTAACAAAATGCTGAAGCTCAGATTACCATAAATTTTAAAAATGTGATTCTGACAAAAAATGCAAGCATAAACTTCTGGGGAACATAGTATTAAACCTAAACTTTTCCTGATGCCAAAGAAATATTTAATTTGGTGATTTTTTAAAAAAATAATCATTTAAGCAAATCCTATTTCGACACCCCTTCCTTTATGAAACCTCTGCAGCTGAATTATAAACTGAACTTACTTCCTCAGAATCAGTCTCCATTCCCTATATTTTGCTTAAAAATGGGAAAATAAACATACCTCCCCATAACTATCAAACTGTTTATTATGAGATTTCTTTCCGGTTCCACCATAGCCAAAGCCAAATTTATCAGTACCTAAAGAATAGTTAAGAAATTACAATTAAAAACTATACACTTTTTCATTAAGATATGAAAGAAGAGGGTAGAAATGTTGGTACTTTTTCCCCCTTCACTCTCTGCCTTTGTACACGCCCAGTAACTGGAGGATTCAGGAAGAATGTGATAATTTATGCTGGGCTATTCAATAAAAATGCAAATTTTCTCCATTATATACTCTCGCTTGGGCCTCCATTCTGTAAAAAGATCAAGATCTTCCACTGCGTATAGGAACAAATCATGTATTTTAGTTTCTTAAACTTTTGAGAAAAGAATGCCATATACTTTCATTCAGTAGAATGCTCATTAACTCTACGCTGAAAACAAACATGGGATTTGTAAATATATTGCCTCTGTACAAAAATTGTCCTCCTTCTCCACTGACATTCTGTACTCCTTCACATGGATGGATATTGACACATGGAAAAGAATATATATATATTTTGGTGACATCATGATCAGTCCAATCATAGACTATTAACCATTTGCAGAGGCATGAAGACAGAACATAAACCATTGTTCTAATACAATTAGTCATTGTTAACGCTAAAGTCTTGCCATGAAGTGCTGGCACAAACAAAATGCTTAGTAGAGTGATTCAACTTCAGCAAAATTTTTATCTCAGTGGTTGATGAAACGTCAGTGGTGCAGTGGTTACAGTGCAGGCTATTTCTGCTGACTGCCGGCTCCCTGCAATTTGGCAGTTCAAATCTCACCAGGCTCAAGGTTGACTCAACCTTCCTTCCTTCTGAGGTGGGTAAAATGAGGACCCAGATTGTTGGGGGCAAGATGCTGACTTTGTAAACCGCTTACAGAGGGCTGTAAAGCAGTATATAAGTCTAAGTGCTATTGCTATTATAAACAAAGAAAACTACTAAAAACAGTTACATATCAGATTTGCTGAAAACAGTATACACCCCCCGATGCCTAGTTTTTCAAGCTAGAACACTCTAACAATCTTTAGTACCGTATTTACCGGACTATAAGCCACTACTTTTTTCCCACGCTTTGAACCCTGCGGCTTGTACAACAATGTGGCTTATCTATAGATTTTTCTTCGCTAACTGCCATCAGGGGGTGCAAAAAATGACAGACTCAAGAGGTCAGTGCAAAGAAGACGACGCTACCAGTAGTTTTTGGCGCACTCGATGCAAGCAGCACAAGACCGCACGAACGCAAAATATTTTTCACGCCCTCATCATGGAAAGTACATGAAGAAAAGCATATGATGCAGCTTTTAAGTTGAAATCAATCTATCTGTCTATCCAGGAAGGAAATAGAGCTGCTGCACGTAAGCTTGGCGTTAATGAATCAATGGTGAGATGCTGGAGACATCTGGCCATATGCTAAGAGCATTCTTCCCTTTCTGTGTAGATATCTCATTTCACAATGTATATATCTGCGGCTTATAGTCTGGTGCGGCTAATGTATGTAAAAAAATTTTTTTCTTTTAAAATTTAGTGGGTGTGGCTTATATTCCAATGCACTCTATCATCTGGAAAATACAGTATTATGAACTTTCTTTAAAATGTGTGGCTTAACAACCCACAGTCATCATTAAGGGTCAATCCTGATTGTAATGAAACTACTCACCCAAATCTAATGAAGCTTGCGAAGAGGACCATCCAACTCTGCACAAACCCTGGTCACGACAGGAAACTTCATAATAATATTTTCCTAAAATGATTAAGAATACACATGATCGATTTTGTCTTCAGTATACTATGATCAAATCAACCAATACATTTAACCTGAATACAAACTATGATAGTACCGGTAGACTTCAAAATGGTAAGGTCATTCTCAGAGTTATACTGACCTAAGAGACCATATTGGTCATGGAATGAATTGCTATTTTGTCTAAACCTTTAATCATTGTCTCAAAAGTAGAGAAAACTCTGAATATTTTGACTCAAGTATTTCTAATTTTTCACACATAAGCATAACCCCTGTTGTTTAGTACCTTTAGTTACACCTTTAGTTGATCGACATCCATGCCATTCTTTTATTTCCCTGCTTTGGCAGCACAGACCATCAGCTCCAATAGCTAAAAAAGCAAAAGGAGTTAAAAATACAAAGAACTCTTGCAGTTATTTTTGCAATGGCCTCATATTCAAGCAACACAATATGTAGGGCACACTGTTTTGTAAAATATTATTTTTTTAATAATTTACAATAGGCAAATGGGATATATCTATGGAATAACAGCTCTTACAAAGAGTTATCACTTTCCCATTATTTTTGAGCAACACTAAAAACACAGTGGAAATTGTGAATTAAGCCAGTATTTCTCATGGTTCTGGATAAAAAAAAAATCTCAATAGTCTCAGACATTATGGCCAGAGATGAGGTGATATGTAGCTCCAATGGTTTTGCAAATCAGGCTGGGCAAAGTTGTATAAAACTATTATAGCTTCCCCAATTTCAATTCCCATTAAAATAATACTCAATTTTATCCAGTGATATTAACAGGAAAAAAAAAAACCTGCTGGCTATATTTATACTGTTTTCTTGATCTATGAGACTCAGCTTCCTGTACGATCTTCCATCCAAGCCCAGGATTTCCCATACATATATAGTTACCAAGTTACCGTAAGATCTATGCAAAGATTTATAGAAGGCTTACCAAATGCATTTCCTCTGTCATAGGGATTCATTTGCCATTTGTTCAGCACTCATGAGAAAAAAAGCAGAAAAAAGACATACTTTTCATCTGTAGAGTGGTAAGGTCCACAATTCAAAAGTAGAAAGTTACACTATGATACTCTAGATCAGTGGTTCTAAACTTTTTTTTCACCATGGACCCTCTTAAAATATCTTTTGTGGCCACAGACTTTGGCCATAAACCTCCAAGACTTAACCCAAGATTTAAATCATAAAATTTCTTCAAGCCTTCGCGGAACCCATGACAGCATTGCAGTCCCCCCAGGGATCCACGGACCACAGGTTGCGAACCACTGCTCTAGACAACTAAAAAGTTTGATATACAGATATAGACATACTGTATAAAGAAACCCATGTCTAATTTAGACATAATTTTTTGAAGAAATATTCCCAAAATTTGTGACTGTGTTAGGTTCTTACATTTGCATAACTTTAATAATTTTATTTTTAATATGTTTTGTCACTTTTGTAACTATTTTGTATCATTATATATACTTATATACTGAGATACAATAATACAATACATTTTATATCAGAAATCAGATGAAATACACTGAAATATATTTGTATTTTAAATGCTTTTTTTAAAAAAAAGAAAGCTGCAAAAAGTGACATTTTTTAGCAGTAACCAACGTTTCTAAAAGCTATTTCTATATTCTAGTTTTTAGGACATTTTATATTCCAGGGTACTATGAGATTGCATAAAAAATAATACACCATGGCAGAAAATTGGAAAACTATAAAAACCCCGTCTATGCTGAATTTTAAGAACAGGTAAAACTGTAAAAAAAAAAAAAAGCTTTAATGTTGACAACCATCATCCTTCCGCTTGTAGTCCCACCATCTAATGTTGTACATGATCCAACACTTTGTTTTTTTGTTATAAACCTTTCCCCCTTTGTTTCTGCTACATTACATCCTGACAGGAGAGGCATGTTACCAGTCACATCCATTATGGAATGTCAAATGGAGGAATGCAGGACAGTCTTTACTGTCAGTGCATCTATCTTTTGGCACATCATTTTCCCAAGAGATCAGACTGATCATGACCTTCTTGCCCTTTTGCAAAGCCTCAAAAAAGTAGCTGCATTTCTGGGCCTGTAGATTGGACTGTCAGAACTCATGAGATAGTTATATTCACTGTAATTGTATTCAGTGAATACATTGTTTTGTATTCTTTCACCTAGGTTGCCAGTTATTTTCTTTGCTGGTTGTGTTTTTAACTATTGCACAGACTCACCATGGTGAGATGGGCGACCATATAAATTGACTAAATATGTACAGAATAACTATGAAGTAACTAACATTTCTAAAAGCTATCAGACAGGTAAAAATAAAATCCTAAATCTTTAAGTCAGTTATTCAGTTTATTGACATCACAAAATTATTCCACAATACTGTAAGTCAAGTATGACACTAATGTCACACTTCCTTTTAGCCCAAACTGAGTATATAACAGCTGCTTTTTATTAGATAATAGTTGAATTATTCTTATGTATGTTATTTATGGACAGAGATCTGTAATTATAAATAAGCTATATAAAGAAATTTCAATTCACATTAGGTTTCAGAGAGACAGAATGTATACATTTTAGCAAACCCTGGAGAAAAAGCTTACCTCCTCCACCAGTTTTAATCGTAGTTTTACCCTTTTTTCCTTCCTGTTGGTCTTTTAGTGTTTCATAAACAATTTGAATAACTGGAATGCTGAATGCCTGAAATACAAGTTATCTATTTCACTAATAATGTTATTCAAAGCCTGAGTTACAAAGTAAATTTGGCTAAAAAGAAATAAGACCAGAGTTTCTTTTTAAAATTAACAACTCAGCAATGTTGATACATTTATATAACTTATTAAGCCATACTTATGGAGAGAATATTTACTGACAAAATATCTGTGATTAAGTCTCTTAGAGTCACCCAGATCATAACATGGATATATTTTACCTTTAGGCTAAATTAATTTACAGTATATGCTGTTGGATAAACATGCTATCACTTATTAATACTTTATATTTCCACAGAACTGTATATGTTATATCATTGCATATTACTTTGCAAAATACTAATTCTACTTACACCAGTTTTTCCACTCCCAGTTTCTGCAGCCTATGTAGAAAATATAATAAAACATGATGATATGAATTATTTGTGGTAATGCAAGATTAAATAGTTTTGTGTTAACAGCATAAAAATGGTAAAATCCCAGAACACTGATATCTTAGCTGTTGATAACTATTTTATACTATCATTTGTAATAATTTCAAAGCAAAAAAATTGAAAACTAAATTAGCTATGTATTCTCTTTTAAAAAGTCATTTAGGAAACATATATTGCAGAGTCTAGCTAGTTTTAGATGAACGAGGCAACAAAGATGTAGAATTACTGAAATTTTAAAAAGAATATTAACTTACACAATTTCATTTGAACCTGTATATTCAATTCATCCTGTTCATCTCTAAATTGTGATTTTCCAATACATATGTAAGCAACATTACCACAGTATACTAAAAGGCTATATAAAATTTGAACTAACCGTGGAAATACAGTCTGACACAAAGCAGAATGAATAAATTACTAGATCATACAACATTATTCCATAAGACAGATTAGTGTAATATATACCATGAGTACATCGCCTCCTCCTAAAATCAATGGAATGGACTCCGCTTGGATATCTGTAGGCAGACTAATGTAAAACCATAATGAGTCTCTCACATTTTGTTGAAAAACCAAAACCAAAATGTCTTCGGGATACATTTTCAGATTATTTTGTTTGTATACACCCCATTGCATTTAGAACAACTATTTGCAAATACAGCAGTAATAATAAATTCACTTTCTAGCCAATGAATGTTAATTTATTTTACTTTTTATTTATTAAATTAGTTTGCCACCTATCTCGCCCTAATTGTGTGCCTGACAACTAAAGCCTTTAGTGTGAAACTGAGTAAAGTTTGGTTTTCGGGCAGCAAGGGAAAGCAGGCTAAGGATTCTAATCACTAATTAATTATTAGTCCCAGAGTTGAGCTTGTTAATATGCAATTAACACTTTATACAGAACTGCCCTGCTTCAGAGAAAAGCAGGAAGACACAGCTTTTTAAAGCAATCTCTCTGCCTTGCAAAAAGAGGAAAAAAGGTCATGTACAAGACACTGTACAAGTTTATCTGAATTAAACAACAGATCCCTTTGGATAAAATTTACTATACTGTAAAGTCTAAATTGTTTACAAGCTTAGTTTTTTTTTGATTCCTGGGTTTTGAGAACAGCCAAGTTTTTCTCCTAAATAAATGGTTAAATCATTGCATTAAGTACCTTTCACTGAGCTGAAGCAAGATTTCTAGAATCCTCAGTACCAGTGAACATTCTTTCCATCCTACTAGGAAAATTGGGGATAAAAGGAAACAATCATACTTACAGCCAGTCCATTTCTTCTACAGCTTGAGCGATTTCTGGCATAACACCCATTTCTGCAACCAAAGAAGCAATTGGATTAACAAACTGTGTTACTACATTTGGAGGAAGAAAAGATGTTACAAATTTTAATGTTGCAGTAAAATGTATGCTAGAATGCTACATGAAGCACTAAAATCTACATGAACCAATGGCGTCAAAGTTCATAGCTTCTGAAGCTTCATACAATCAATCAATTAATACTTTGTTATATTTCCCAGCTCACTGACAATCAACCTTCTCAAAGAATCACCTAATTGTTTTTAAATAGTAAATAGCCAGGTTATTTATACATATGGTTAGATGTTTTCTTTTCTTTTTTAGTTTTGAGATTCTACAAAGCAATAACTCAGGCTATGATATTTAATCCCAGTACAATCAATATATAGTTTTTAGGTTGTAGAAACACTTTCATCCCAAAGACATAATGAATTAAAACCAAAGGTTTAATTCTTTAAGTAAAATGAAAACAAAATTTGGGATCTGATTTGGTGCTCCTTTATTAAGTAAATAACTATCAGTTTCCTTTGGGCAAAATCTCCTGAATAAAATCTTCCAAAATCTTGGTGTTGTAGTGAAGAAAGCCCTCTCCTACATATCCACCAACCTCATCTCTGATGGTGGAGCATAAAGCAATCAATTTTCAATGACATATTTAAGTTGGCAAGGCTGTGGAAGAAAAGACAAACCACCTTTATAAATTTGATACTTAACCTTTTTTGTTCTGGCAAGTATAAAACTAGTCTTGGAATTAGCATAATTCAAGCTGACAATGAGATTAGAGTAAAATAAAGTAAATTTCTAATCTAGCCATAGATTGATATTTGAGCAGATTATTAAAAACAGTGTTAGTATGTTCATATAAACAAAGCATTTATTTTTGAACCTTGCAAGATTTTCCTCTTATACCAGATGCATTAGATGCAGCAGTATATGCATTCCAAAGAATCTGACTATATGCACTACAAACCTCCCTCAAAAATGCAAATCCATTCAGCGACGATTCATTTATCCCAGAATCAAACTAGGATACAAATCAACACTGCTGCCTTGCCTGAACTAAGTTAGCTTGTTCTCATTCAGAAAATCAGGTTCTCTTATTCTACTGCATACAAAAATTATGAAATTATATTTCTACTTTCACAGATAGAATAGAATACACTTTGAAAAGACAAAGTCCATCCCTATACCAAACATAAAAGGGTCTAAATGTAAGATTGATTTGAATATATATCCTAATTTTAACAAGGAGAAAGTCCTTTCCCAATGCTCAGAAACACTCTTTCTGGGTGAGGACGGGTGCTTGCCATTATAACCCCAACATGGTACTATAAAACATAACGTAGGCATAGTTCCAGAGCATTTCTAGATTCTCCGGTGTCAATTACATTATATTAAGTGAGTCTTGCAGTCTACAAACACCCAAAGGATTTGGAAAGTGAATTCTTTAATAGACTAACTGGAGGAGTTCGATGGCTGATCAGCTGAGCCATACATCAGCCTTTAAAAAGGAACTGGTTCCCCCTTTGAGAGCCTCTTCCTAAAGATTTAGTCCTCGAGTTACGATCACAATTGAGCCCATTTTTTATGTTGCTAAGTGAAATATGTGTGGAGTTTTATCCCATTTTACGGCTTTTCCTGCCACAGTTAAGTGAGTCATTGTCTTTGTTAAATTAGTGACACGGTTGTTAAGTGAATCTGGATTCCCCATTGATTCCCCTTTGCTTGTTGGAAGGTCACAAAAGGGGATCGGTGACCCCGGGACACAGCAACCGTCATCAATAGGAACCAGTTGCCAACCATCAGAATGTTGATTGTGTGACCAAGGGGATGCTGCAATGGTTGTAAATGTGAAAAATGGTCATGCTTTTTTCAGTGCCCTTGTACTTTGGAACGGTCACTAAATGAACTGTTGTAAATTGAGGACTACCTGTACTGGCACAGCAGGAGCATCTCACCAGGCTCAAGGTTAACTGCATCCTTCCAAGGTGGGTAAAATGAGGAACCAGATTGTTGGGGGGCAACAGGCTGACTCTGTTAAATCGCTTCGAGAGGACTGGAAAGCACTGCGAAGCAGTATATAAGTCTAAGTATATTGGCCGAAACTCGGCTTTACATAAAATCCCGACACAAACCCTCTTCGCCAAAAGCGCACACTTACAATACCTAGAATCACAGTTTAACGCCGTTGCGCTTTCCTCCGCCTCCATCTTAGGCGGCTTGGCAGGAGCCACGTACCTGAAAACGCCGCCATGCTTCCACTCTCCCAGACAACCGGGCGGACAATCCGTCAAGCCTCCTGCGCCTCCGCCTCCTCCTTACAGCGCCTGCGCATTTGAAAGTCCTCTTCCTTAATTCGCCGGACGGTACAGGAGCCGTTCACTTAAAGTTCCGGCGATTGGAGTAGGCTTGGTCGATCGTCAGATGCGCTTGCAGAATTCATTATTAAACCCCAGCGTTTAGTGGTCGTCAGATCAGAGCTGCAGCGGACAACGCTAAACTTTGTTGCAATCAGTTGCTAATTCGAATTTCTCTAGCTCTAGTTTTGTAGATAGATGGGAAGAATTAATGTAGCTTTTCCAACCCGAGTGCTCTCCACTTTTGGTTTGGAATTCCTATAATACAGAGACGGAATTATTTGGCAGTTGCCATGCAAACAGGTGTGGAAAACTGAACCGACACGTTTAATGACCCATCTTGTAATATTAAGAATATTACACACTGATTCTGTGTGTATACCTCTGTCAGCTGAAGCAAGGCTATCCCTTTTTAATTCGTTTTTCAAATATTAAAATTGCGAACTAAAAATACAAAATTTTAGAAAGAAAAAGAAAAAAAATCAGTCTTACATTTTATACTTATGAACTGGTTTACTAATGAACTCAACATGAGCAATATGATAGCATAAAATATCACAAAATCACATATTGCTGCATTCTTTGATTTGTAGAAAATACTGCCTTTTGTATCCTAGTATATTCTGAAGTGAACAAAATACGTTTAGAATTGCTTATTATACTTCATATGCTTGCCTTGAGTGTGGATTCAGTAGGACTTGTTTAATTCAGTGGAATTTATTTCACGCTGGAGGGAACATTTATAGTTTCACTGTTAAAAGTACAATCACAATTATCATGTGCAACACCTAAAGTTTAATTGCTAAATTACAGATTAACATTCTGTGTAGCAGAAAGCCACAAAAAAGCAAGGCACATTTTAATGTATGTTGCATGAATACAGAATGATTAATTATGTAATATTCAGAATTTAGACTCTACAAAAACAATGGAAACTTCTTGAAAATTATATATAAAATTAAAATCCTTTTTTAAAAAAAGAGGAATATTTTTATAATACATTTTCTTTCCAGGTAGTTAGTTATAAATCATTTGTAAATGTTTGAAGTACATACAATGCTTTTTTTCAGTTACAAAATTAACTTGATTTGCAATATAAATTTTGCATCAAATAGCCTTTTGTTTCTTTAACATAGATTATGACTTAAGCTCTATATCTATTCAGTAGTAATGCCCACTGCTATCACCACAGTAGATGTCTATGCTAAGCCTTTAAAATGTGTTCCGAATATCAAAACTATTGAGAAATGTTCCGTGTTCTGTGTTTCAAAACTACTGAGAAATGTAGACTTTCCCAAAATGTTTTACTTTGACACCATGTAGTTGTTCCAAGTCTACTACTTAGAACTGTATCTGATCAATGACATATCAGAGTTACTGATCCCCATAACTGTGAAGTATATAGTAATGCAAGAATTCAACTACTGCAATACTTTTCCACAGTGCTGCTTCTTTGTGTTTGGAATAGCTTCCTCTTTGCAATTCTTTCAGTTGGGTAGCACTGAACCAGGGCTAGGATCGTGGGTGTTGAAGATGAAGATTTTTCTTTGCAATATACTTCTTGGGATACAATATTACTGAATAATGATTTCCACATATTTATAAAAGGTTACCAAAAATATCTTTCATAGCTTCTATCAGTGGATAATCATTAAACATGTGGGAAAAGCTTTCTGTAAAAATCCCAAATAAACAAAGAACAGAGGCATGTCTGATTTTTGTGTGTGTGCAATTATTCAGCTTCATTCAAAGCTTGTTTTTTGGGGAAAAGGGCACTAGTTTATCCAAGAAAACATTGTTCCCTCCAGTCATTCTAAAAAACTGATCTGTTACTACACTACTGCAGAAATCCAGACTGCCACTAGAGGGCATCAAAGAGATGGCAAACCTTCAATTTTCTATCTCCTAGTGGCTACTGGATTAGTGCAGTCAAATCTAGTATCTCTACAATACAAGTAGTCAATTTATAATCACAATTGAGGCTTAATATTTCTGTTGTTATCTGAGACATATGTTCAGTGAATTTTGACCCATTTTATGGCCTTGTCACAATTGTTAAACGAATCACTGCAGTTGATAACTTAGCAACCGAGTTGTTAAGTGAATCTGGCTTCTGGCTTCCCCATTGACTTTACTTGTCAAAAAGGACACAGCAACAGTCATAAGCAGGAACCAGTTGCCAAACATCTGGATTTTGATTATGGTCAAAGGTTGTAATTGTGAAAAAGTCATAGGTCACTGTCTTCAGTGCCACTGTAACTTTGAACAGTTGCTAAACGAACTGTTGTAAATTGAGGACTCCCTTTCCTACTACAGCACTACATAATCTGATTCCAGAGGCACAAAATGACAGGTGGAATATCTGTTCTTAAGAGCCGTTGAGGATTTATATGAGTTCTTGATGACTTTCTGATCCACGTTTGACCCTGGATTGCGCGATAATTGTGCTCATGGATAGAGAATCCCAGGATCGCGAGCGTAGCCCAGAACAGTTCTGGACAGGGAATGCAAAGCGTTAAGAGATACGCGTCTGCGCTAGTCTGATTTGTCCGCTACAGGCCGCCGTAGCGGAGCCGGCTGGGTATAGTCATGGCTGCTGTCCGGGGAAAGAAGAGGGAAAGCAGCGTCAGTGAGATGAGAGAGGAGGAGGTGGAAGAGGAGGATGAAGAGGAGAACATCCTCTACGACTTGCTGATCAACACCGAATGGCCACCGGAGTTTGAGGTGCAGGTGAGTCTTTTTCGCTGTTGTCGCACAGGCATTACTCGCCTGCTGGGCGGCGAGAGCAACTAGAGCACCCGCCACGTAGGTGGGGAGAGGTCGGGTGGTGAGAAATGATCGCGTGTCATTGACTCTTTTAAAGAGCTGCCCTTTGTGGATGCCGAATCTTGACTCTGTGGCCCTTAGCAAGAACGCCCGCGTTGCAAAAACGTTTGGATCGCCCGATCTGATAAGCCACTTCTGCCCTTAAAGATCATGTCAATCAAAAGTCTTTCGGACTTCAGGATGAAGAACCATTGTAGTATGGCAGACGCGTCAGTCGGTTAGTTATATTCTGTTAGTGTCGTACAAAAAAACCCCACACCGTGAAACACGTAAAAAAACCCTTGCACATTGACAAAATTTCCATTAGTCAATTAATTGCAACAGGCTACAATGTTTGGATCCGCTCTTTACCATACCAATGCATTACAACATTCTAGGTTCTTGGGAAGAACTTAATGACAGTTGTGACTTCATATTCTGGGGAAGAGAGGAAAAATTAAATACTTATTATATTATATACCTCCCAACTACCGGCAGTTCTGGGTGGTTGATTGATTGGTGTTGATTGGAACAACCAGACACACAAAATAATAACCCATCTTTAAACAGATGGCAATGTGAGGGTGACTTTATCTAATTTTGGAAAAGCTTGATAGTTGTTTAGATGGGAGACTACTAGGGCTGTAGAGTAGAAGTTGAAAAAACATCCAGGAAAACAGTATATTTATTTATATATAAATATAAATAAAAACAAAATTTCTATGTGGCCACTAACAAAGTTTTATTTGGAGCAGTAAAGTTAGTATTTATGATTAACTTTATAAGGTTTCTATATACAGTAAATGGAGTAGACAGTTGTTAATCATTGTTACTGGTTATTCGCTAGAGATTGGCCATAGCTTTTTATTTTCAAACATTCTATCTCCATCAAAGGTTGTGATGTTAACTGATGATTTTCTGATTAATGGCATCAGTAGAACCTTTCTGTCCTGGATCACCATAACTTTTTACAAGAAGAATGTGAAGCAAGAGTTTTGAAGCTTAATCAGCCTCTTAATTGATATTTATTAATCATTTATTGCATCTGCTCAATGATTCTTGCTAACTGAAATTTTCAATACTCTCTTTATTTTCTTTTTATTACACTGAAGACTACTTAGTTAATTTATGCCATTAGGATTGTTTTTGTAATATCCATTTAGTGACTGTAATATTATGTTTCTTATAGAAGAATATTCCCAAGAAAGAGATCCTTAACAGATAAAAAGGGGACCTATTGCATGCATGGATTAACATGCAGCATGGACTTGTTTTGTGTCTTCTTACCAGGCTCTGGAGTTGAAGTAGTTCCTTGAACATCTTTGTTTCACAATTCTCTAAAAGACCTTAGAGCAAGGGTCTTCAAACTTGGAAAGTTTAAGACTTGTGGACTTCAACTCCCAGAATTTTGGGCTAACATGACTGGAGGAGGAATTCTGGAAGTCCACAAGTCTTAAAGCTGTCAAGTTTGAAGACCCCTACCTTAGAGATTAGCATTTTAAAGAGTTGCTTATCCCAACAATTATTTTACAACCTGCAACAGCTTAATGGCCTTGCAAATAAAGGACTTACTGAAAACTATCTTTTTGGTCTTACAGCCAAGAGGCAACCAGAAGCATTATGCACCATTTATCATCAAAAGAGTGATTATGGGTAAATATATATAGCTTCATTATTCAAGTAGATTTTATGTGGCTAAAATTAATATAATGTGAACTAATTAATTTAAATAATGGATATGGCTGCCCATTTCATAGCTGAAGCTCTGAACAGCATAAAAAGATTTTAAAACGGTTACAAATTATTCACTAAAGTTATAAACTTATTTGATATTCTTATACTGCATCCAGAGCTTAGTGTAATAGGAATTGCATAGCATTTAGAGATAGACTTTGCCTTAATGACTGCCTTGCTTAATGATCAATGATGTTGAAAAAGTAACTTTATGATCAGCTCTAGCATTTACACTCATTGCAATATCTCTGTTTTCACGTTATCAACATTTGGGCATTTCACAACCAATAGGCGTTTATGCCTGTTGCACCATTCCCTTGGTCACATGATCACAGTTTCTGTGCTTTGCAACCAGCTTCTGACAAGCAGAGTCAATGAAGAATCCTGCAGTAAAATAGAAAGTTTTGATCATGTGAACCTCACTCAGGTGATTTGTTTAATGATTAAATGGGAAGTGACA